TGTAATTAGTTTCAACTGCTGATGAAGAAATGAGTTTTAATTACAAGGAATATACTATATTTCAAACTGTTCCATTTTTGAGACCTAATTACTTTGATAAATCTATTTTTGTCTCATTTTGTCCAGTCTGATCTCATTTGTGAAGAGTGATGTGAGAAAGTATTGGCTAAATTTAGTTTATTTTTTATTTTATTGTTTTATTTGCAGTTTTTGATCAGAGCTGGGTTTGAACCTGCCACCTCCGGCATATGGGGCCGGTGCCCTACTCCTTTGAGCCACAGGCACCGCCTGGCATTGGCTAAATTTATTTGCCTGTTAATTCTAACTGCCTCCCTTTCTCTCCCTTCGTATACTATCAATACTGCTTGGCTTTATTAGATCACATGTAGGGTTGTGAGAACTTCTAGAATAAACCTGAGTTTTAAATTGCTATCTTTGGAATAGATTGGTGTTCGGTGTTGTACTCCTTGTATCATCTTTAAATATTTAAATTGCAGACTCTCTGGCTGCCTCTTAAATTAGATCCTTCACTTAGTAGTTTTGACATTTCATAACCTTGCTCCTCAGGCGTTGAATATTCATCTGCTTAAATGGCAGTGAAAATCCAAACCCATGCATTCGTCCGGTGAATGTAGATGGGAGAACAGCTTGCAGGTGGAGGGAGAAGCTGTGTTGACCCTGGTAGGACATACACTGCAAGTTCATTGTATGGAAATATTTCCAATACAAAACATGTCACTTAAAGTAAACCTGTCTTGGATCTTCTCCAAGGGAATTTAGTCTTGAAGAACCACAAAGATACTTTTGAAGCTGAAGATAGCGCCTGTGTGGTTCTAAGGTGAGTATTAAAGCAAGGCACCTATACAAGCTCCAAATCTCCCCCCCCTAAACAAAAATAAGAAAGGAGACGGTTACTGATAACTGCCCATAGAAAATGTGGTGTGGAAACTGATTTGAATCTCTAACGTGTAAGTCCTTATCCGTCTGCAAGCCGCCTTCCCTCGATGGTCTAAGTATGTTTTCTATTTATAATCCTTTGAGATGAAAGAAGAAGAAGAAATGTTTTCCTTTTCCTGGAAGGAAGGATGTTGATGCCAGTGATATCTCCGTTAAAAGAAGGTTGAGAAAGGAAGGGATGTGCCTCAAGTCTGGGGGGAGGAGGAGGAGGACAGCAGTTACCCTCCCTTACACCTGTCTTTCTTGGAAGTAGATGGGGGCAGTATTGATTATTTCTGTGAATTAGAAAGGAAGAAAATCTAACTTAGAAATTCTAGTTATGATGTGCAGTTTCTCTGGTTAGTCTCAATTAGCAGCCACTCATTTTAAGAAAAGTTACTTAATGGAAAGTGACTTAATTGTAATTTTTAGTGGCATCTTGTTTTCTGTGCTCAGTTTGAGTGTTTAAGAAATAGCCAAAATTCATTTAATTCTTTTCCAGAGACTTAGAACAAGTGAACTGAGGAAGCTAATTTCCATAGTGTGGTATCATGGAAGGAAAACTGGACGAGAAGGCAAGGACATGGAGCCGAATGACCAGATTTGAATCCTGAATTCAACACTAGTTGTGTGGAACCTTAGGCCTTTTTATTCCACTTCTCTGTGCCTATTTCCCCAGCTATAAAGTACCAATTTTTATCCTACCTTACCTTGTGGAATAGTTGTGAGGCACAGAAAACAATACTGTAGTTTTTTGTTTTTATTTTTTGAGATGGAATCTTACTCTGTTGTCCAGGCTAGAGTCCCGTGGCAATAGCCTAGCTCACAGCAACCTCAGACTCCTGGATTTAGGCGATACTCCTGCATCAGTCTCCGTAGTAGCTGGGACTACAGGTGCCCAGCTAATTTTTCTATAGTCAGTAGAGATTGGGGCTTGCTCTTGTTCAGGTTTATCTCTAGTCCCTGAGCTCAAGCAGGCCTCCTACCTAGGTCTCCCAGAGTGCTAGGATTACAGGTGTAAGCCACTGTACCTGGCCAACAATACGTAGTTTTTAAAACGTTTTATAAATGTCTTCAAGCCAAGCCCGTAAATCTAAGGTTAGTATTAAACATCGTTACCACCCTGAGTTTATATACAGTCTCGTCACCTTCGTTCTGCCTGTGGTAGTAGAAAGTGGTTCTTAGACAAAAGTTACTGAAAAATGCCATTTTAAGAAGGTTTCTCTTGGAGCCTTTATAATGTGGCTGGGAATTAAAGCAGCAGTATGAACTGAAGACTGGACATTGGAAAAAAAAAAATAACTGACCCAAGTGTGTTTTCAAAGCTTTTATATAAGCACTAAATATAAACCCGTTTTCCTAAATTTATTTTAGGATAACTTTTAAGATACACCACCCACACTCATCTGAAATGCACAAAGCAGTGAATGTCACTGCATGAGTAAATTATTCTAGAACACTTTAATGGACTCAGGTTACTCTCAACTTTAATGGTCTAGGTCTTTCCATTTTCAGATGGATGTAGAGGTAAATAAAATTTACAACGTAGTCACATAGGGTTTTAGACTGCTAAGCATTTTATGTGGATTACAAATTAATTATTCCTAATAACCATATGAAGAAGGTATAATTATGTGGTAATAGGCTTAAAGAATTTGTCCCTAGTCCACAGAGCCCATAATGAATTGAACCTGGTTTGAGGCCCAGGCATACCGATTAGTGAACCATTATCTTTAACCACTGTTCACTACCTCCTGCCTGATTCTAGGCAGGGGCTGTCTGTTGCTGCTGCCTGCCTCGTTGGAAGTTAGTTTCCTTTGGGACTGTAGGTGCTTATTTGTAAATGATGGCAAGTATTTCTCCTTAATAGGAGCACTTCGGTCACGTGATGTGGAGCAGGGTGACACCTGACTGGAGAGTAAAGCCAGGGAGTCCTAGATGGGAATGTGGGTCCCAAGTGGTGTTTTGGTTTTTTGTATTTTTTTTTTCTTTCCTGGATAATCAAAAACTGTACTCAAGAAAAGGAATAGGGTTTTCATTTACTTAACATTACTACGTACATATACAGGTATAATTCAGTGGTTTTTTATCAGTTGATAGCAGCCCATGGCTAGATTCCGTTTAAATTACTTCGATTGCTTGACATTTTCCTTCAGTGATTTTTCACTTACCTTTAAGTTCCCTAATTTTTTTTTTTTTTTTTTGAGACAGAGTCTCACTTTGTCACTGAGCTGTGGCATCACAGCTCATAGCAACCTCCAGCTCTTGGGCTTAGGTGGTTCTCTTGCCTCAGCCTACCAAGTAGCTGGGACTACAGGCACCTGCCACGATGCCCAGCTATTTTCTTGTTGCAGTTTGGCTGGGACCAGGCCCGAACCTACCACCCTTGGTATATCGGGTCAACACCCTACTCACTGAGCCACAGGTGCTGCCCCATGTTCCCTAATCTTCACTGTTCTTAAGTGTTGAGGCACAGAGAGTTGTATGTGAATAGCTATCTGTTCTCTCCACTGCTGTTCCAAATTCCTTCTTTCTGTAGGACGGAGCAGTGCTAATATGACTTCCAAATGTAGCCTTTGGAGTAACAGGTGTATTTTCACTTGTCAGCAAGCAAACAATAAAGGGTAGGGACTACGAGTATTAAACGTAACTCCATTGGGGTGGGGTGAAAGATAATAAGACTTTTATAAGTGGTATAAAAGTTGGCTTGTGGTTTTTTTTTTTTTTTTTGGAGAGCAAAAAGAAGTGATAACAGAACTGTGTGCCTAATTTAAATTACATAGAAAATATTTGTTTTATACTATGTTATTAAAATATTAGTGTAAATTGGAAAAGGTTTTCTGGGGGGAGTAATAAACTGGATTAAAGGTTGATACTAATGGATGAAATGAGTAGGCAGAAGTATTACATTTGAAACCTCTGCAAATTAATCCCAGAGTTAGACCTGCTGGCCATTTTTATGGGTGATCTGGAAGATGGGATATATTGTGAGATTTCTGACTTTATAGGAGGCTTGTTCAGAAAAGTTTACAGTTAAACCAAAGGGAGTATGGTCAGGAATAGCTCATGAGACTTCCCACTATCTAAATACTAGCAGAGATAGGTTAATAGAGCAAGAGATCTAGATGACTTGATGAACTGTCCCTTAAATGCTCTGGTTCAGTGAGCTGTTATGAACCTGCAGCATCCGTGGGGTATTGAGCAGGCTTTTACTCACCAAATAGTACAGTATTTATTCCATGCATTGACTGAACATGGACGATAAAGCCAGGAGCAAGGCAGATGCAATTTCCTCTGTCATGGAGTTTGCGTGAAGGGTGATGATCATAAATAAATACAGACTGACTTTGTCTTCTATCCTTGTAGGATTTTGTATATTCCAAAGATAGAAAGCTTTGTGAAAGAATACATAAAATTACAGGTAAACTTAATACAGGATGTCTATAACATTCATGTGTAAGAACTTTAGACCTTTTGAAAATCAAGGTTAAAAGGATTTGTGGATCAGAAAACAATGGGCAAAGGATAATGGGGAGATAGCTCATTTGCATATTTAAATTTCTGGGAATTTATGGAAGATAGAACATTATTTTGGCATAAATCAAAAGGGCATACTAAAGTAAACTGATAAAGGGTAAATATTTTAGAATCACAGCACTGCCACCCTCATAAGTGGGAGAAGCTGGAAAACAAAAATATGTCCCTTGAACTTAGAGTTCTTAAAGTTAGAATGAATTGGCCTCAGTCTCTATTCTAAGGGGCTGGCCTCACTGAGGACAGCCTGTAGCTATGAGTAATACTACGATGCTATATGCACCACTGCTTTGTTGTGAGACCTAACAAAACCCTCTGAGGACAAATAATATTTCCTCTCCACCCAGAAGAATGACACTTCCATTTGTCTAGAATTAACCCAGATATGAGTAAAGCCTTTGGTGCCTGGCTTGCTTTGACTTCAGTGTTTGTTGTATCTTCCTATTGGACAGGAGCTCTAGACAGTCTTTGAATTTCTAAAGGGAGGTGACCGAGAGTGTGGATATATCTAATTTTGTTTACCCTTTCAGGTTTCCTATGCTCGCCCAAGTTCAGCTTCTATCAGAGATGCAAATTTGTATGTCAGTGGACTTCCAAAAACAATGACCCAGAAGGAGTTAGAACAGCTTTTTTCACAATATGGACGCATTATTACTTCACGTATTCTTGTTGACCAAGTCACTGGTAAGTAGACAGCTACTCTGAACAGTCTTTTGCTCTTTCTGACTGACAGATTGTGAAATATTCTGTCTTCCTATACAGCAGTCTTGCCTGTAGAACACATCAAAGGTATATGTGGGCCAGAAAATACAATTTTCTGCTGGAATTGTTCATAAATATGCATGGACAAAAATAGATTGTGGAGCGTAGTGAGCGCGCTTGAGTCATTTCCACCCTGAAGGTGCAGGTTTGAAGGCTGTTTCATGGCTTGTAATAAATTTATAGATGCTATAATCCTCATTTTCAAGCTACTGTGTAAAAAAAGCCCCAATCTAGCTTATAAAGTACTAATAAACAATCTTATTTTTATAAAAGAGCAAAGTTTAATGCAGCAATATGCAGCTAATTTTCCAAGGCAGGATGACACTGCATCCACACCAGTAATTGCTGGTAAGGCTGTTTTCCAGGTCCGGTGCCATTCTGTAAAGGCGTATGTTGTGAAGAGTAGGAAATCTTGAATGTTAAAAACTTATTTTGAGCAGCGCCTGTGGCTCAAAG